TGTCATTATTTATTAATATATTGATATAGTTACAGTAATTAAATTGAAATAAATTTTAACAAATTTATTAATTAAAAATAAATATTAAATAATATGTATAAATTCTCTTAAACTATAGATTAAAAGTAATAAAAATAATATTAAAAATATTTAGATATAATATAATAGGTTTAACATTTTTTTTTATGTGAGAAAGAATTAAATAACAAAAACTAGATTATATTAAAAAAAATATATTATACATCAAATTATAAAAAAATAATATTAATGATTTTTTTTTATAAAAAAAAATAATTTATTATATCTATTAATTCAGTTCAGTAAGTAATACCAAAATGTAAAGTTGAGGTGAAGAAGGAGAGAAAGGAAAAATAATAATAATAAACAAGTGTACTGCAAACTTTACCTTAAAAAGAGGAATTAATTATTTAATAATGAAAGACAAGTCTATGATTCCGTCTACCACACTAGGAAGGTCCCCAACACCAAAGTTTATAAAATAATTTATTTTCCTTAAACCTTACAACTATGTATATCTATTTACTTCACTTTAATTCTATTTTTGTTTTTGTTTTTGTTTTTTTGAAATTTTTTTTATTAATATATTAATAAATTAAAATTTTAATTTTATTTAATTAAATATCATAAATCGATCACTATTAAACGATAATATACTCACTAAATAATAAATATTTATTTTTAATAAAATTCGAATTCATAATATTTAAATAAAATATAAAAATATTTTGTTATCATAACATAATTATATAAGTTATTATAAATACTTTATATTATGTTATGTAATTCTAAACAGGTGATGGTGTATATTTTATAATTTTTTCAAAATTTTTGTAATTTTGTCATTGAAGGTAGGCACTATATTTGTTTTCTCTTGTGATTTTTTTTTTATATAAACTTTTTAGTTTATTTAATTAAAAAAAGTATTTTTTTTTTTCAAAATAAGATAATTCATTTGGTTGAATTTAATGATTATGCCAAAGGCAAAAAGTCAAGATAATGAGAACTTTAATTCTATTTCATGCATAATTTATACTGAGTACTTCGTCCGTCTGAAACCTAAAGCTTCATATAGTTCAACGCGAATGAATCTTTCTATTAGAAAACCTAATCCTATAGGTATTAATGGTGTTTTTATAGATGAAAGTGGTAAACTTTCAGTAATTTTTTTTAATGAAAAGAATAGGATTTACCGAGTCGAATTGGCTTCAACTTTTGGGAACTATAAGAAAGTTTTAATTTTTTTTTTTATTTTCTAAATAATAATTTCATTTTATTTTAAACAAAAATTTAAAATAAGAAGAACAATTAATGTTTGTTTGTTCTTTCAAGAATTCCAAGGGACTAAATTTCTTTCTGTGTTTTTTTTTTTTTGTTTTCTTTTGTAGATCAATTTGCAAAGTTGTGGGGTAAAGTCTTCCCTTTTGAGCTTTTTAAGATCAGTTTCCTCAGATAAGTTTTTTTGCCCGCTGATTTATTCTTTTACTTTGGATTGTGTATATCTAATCTATATGTGTAAGTGTGTATGTCTGTGTGTGCATACATATATATATATATATATTTGTCAAATACTTATTCCTGGTATGTTTATTTATTTCTGTTGAATTTTTTATTCATAACATCATTTATTTTTTACTATAAGGATTTTACTTTTTAGAGAATCAATTGTTACATTATTTAGATACGAATTTCTTACAAATTTGTAAAATACATTAATTTTGTTTTGGTGCATTTTCTTCACTATAAAAAGTCTCTTCCTCCCTCCCTCCCAAACACATATACGTACACCTTCACCTTCCCCCTCTTTCTCTGTCTCTAATCTCCATCAGTAACACAGAATGAAGTTGGTAATGGAGAAACCAGTTGCCATTAATGGAGGTTGGATTGTTCTGGGTGCAGCAGGTGTAGTGCTCTTAATGTTCACATGGGCATGGAGAGTTCTCAACTGGTTGTGGTTCACGCCCAAAAGACTAGAGAGGTGTCTCCAGCAGCAGGGTTTTTCCGGCAACCCTTACCGGCTTCTCGTCGGAGATATGACGGAGAACTCTCAGATGATAAAGGAAGCCATGGCCAAGCCCATTTCCCTTACCGATGATTGTGCACCACGTGTCTTCCCCTTTCTTTATCACATCGTCAAAACATATGGTTAGTAAGAATACTTACAAAAAGTTTCAATCTATACATGCATCCAAATATATTTTTCAGAATATATAACAATTAATATTATATGATTTTGAAAAATTTTTTTGTTAGGTTCACTTTTAATTTTTCATAAATAAAATTATTTACTATTACTTAAATATTCATATTTTTATAATTTAGCTGTATGATTAATATTTTTATCTTTTTTCTTTATGATATTATGACTTTGAAATCATATTGTATTTTGTGTGTGCATTCTTGTTAGTTTGGAGTTTAATTGTGTTGTTATTAGCGTGCAGATATTATATCAATATTTTTAAAATAATAAATATATAAATTTTTACTCAAAAAAATTCTTAATGTTCTCTTTTTATCATCTTTAGTATATTATAAGTTAATATAAAATAAAATTCTTGATGAATTGATAGGGTTGTCCATATTTGTTTACTATATGTAATATATATATATATATAATGTAAAAGCGTTAATGTTCTTTTTTTGTTGGTTTGGAAACCATGGGTAGGGAAAAATAGTTTTTCCTGGAATGGACCAGTGCCAAGGGTGACGATAATGAATCCTGAACATATAAAAGAAATATTAAACAGAATCACAGACTTCCCCAAACAAGCTGCCTCATCAAACCCTCTCTCAAGATTAGTAGGAACAGGACTGGCATGCCATGAAGGAGAAAAATGGGCCAAACATAGAAGAATCATCTCCCCTGCTTTCCACCTTGACAAGCTGAAGGTACTAAATAAATCTCTCTTTAATCATGCTCTCCTAATTTTTTTACAATTGATATATGTTTTTTTGATATGATTAAGCAGAATATGGTACCAGCCTTCTACGATAGTTGTAGCGATATGATTAACAAATGGGAAGAGTTGGTTTCTGGTGAAGGATTTTGCGAGTTGGATGCATGGCCTTATCTTGTGAATTTAACCAGTGAAATCATTTCTCGAACAGCATTTGGTAGCAGCTACGAGGAAGGAAAAAGGATTTTCCAACTTCAAGATGAACTTGCCATTCTCACTCGACAAGTTTCACAATCAATTTATATTTCAGGATGGAGGTAACTCTTGATGGAAAAAATTTTAAAAAATATATTAATTCTAAATTACTTTATTAAAAATACAAAAAATATGAAGACGAAATTGATAGAAAAATTCAAATTTTAATTTGTAGTTGTATACATAAATTTTTAAGTTTATAAATATATATATATAGATATTAATACAATTCTTAAAATTTTAAATATATAAATTATAATTAAATATAATTCATATATCATAATTAAGTTTAATGGAGCAACTAGGTAAGAAAATTTTAAAAAAACATATTAATTGTTATATTTATAACCTATATTTAACTTAATTTCTTAATAAAACAAAGAATGTAAATATGTTGAAATTTACAAATTAGTATCTTCAACAATTCTTTTCTTTTTTTTTTTTTTTGATTTTTTCTATTTCACAATTCGGCTGAATAATACTTATATTGGATGCTTTCTTTGCAAACTTAGAAATTGAACCTGATTAATATTGATAATCTTCATGCATGCAAATATTATATGTATATATATATATATAGGTTTGTACCAACGAAGTTTAATAGGAAGATAAAGGCAGTGGACAAAGAAATACGAGCTTCACTAAAAAAGATGATCGAAAACAGAGAGAGGGCCATGAAAGCAGGAGAAGTTTCCAACGATGACTTACTAGGTATATTAATGGAATCTAATTCTAGAGAGATTCAAGAACATGGAGATAACAAGAATGTCGGAATGAGCATGGCGGATGTAATCGACGAGTGTAAGATATTTTACTTTGCGGGACAAGAGACAACCTCTGTGTTGCTCGTTTGGACAATGATCCTTTTGGCCAGCCACACTACTTGGCAATCTCGTGCGAGAGACGAAGTTTTCAAAGTTTTTGGGAACAAGAAACCTGACCTTGATGGACTTAATCGCCTTAAAGTTGTAAGTACATATACCTATATACATATATGTTATGACTTCATCAGCTTCTTGATTATGATCATTAAAGAATAATATATATATGTACGTTTAGGTAACGATGATCTTGTATGAGGTGATGAGATTATACCCACCAGGAACGATGCTTCTTCGATCAGTCGTGAAAGAAACGAGACTTGGAGATCTGTTATTACCAGCAGGAGTGAGCCTGGCGTTACCCATAATCCTAGTTCACCATGATCGCGAGTTATGGGGTGATGACGCAATGGAGTTTAAACCAGAGAGATTTGCAGAGGGAGTTTCGAAGGCGACGAAGAATCAAGTTTCGTTCTTTCCTTTTGCATGGGGTCCAAGAATATGTATTGGCCAAAACTTTGCTCTTGCAGAAGCAAAAATGGCGGTGGCAATGATCCTGCAACGTTTCACGTTTGAGTCATCTCCATCTTATACTCATGCTCCTTGCATGGTTTTGACTCTTCATCCACAGTTCGGTGCTCACTTGATATTGCGCAAGTTTTATCCATGAGTAATTTGCTGGAAAACTATTATTAGGTGTTGCAAAGAGATTGTTAATAATAATATTCTATAATCAATATTTAAGATATGTTAACAATACGTATTGGAATAATGTTGCATAAAATTTTATTGATGTATATATATATATATATATTTGAGTAATTCTGAATTGGGTTTTACTTATATGTATATTATTATTTAAAAATTATTTTAAAAATTATATTATGATTAGTATTCGTATGGTACCATATTTTGAGAGATTAATTTAAATATTTGTAAAAATATAATAACTAATTTAATTAAAATTGAGATAAATAAAATCTATATTTTATCATTTAAACGTTTACCAGCATAACTTGTATATGACTTGACCTATAAAATTAATCATATGTTAAGAGCTCTTCTTATCTCTCTATGCATGCGGCCATCCACCTTTAGTCTCATCTTTAGCTTTTATTCAAAGGAAAAATAAAGAGGAAAACATTATAGTTCCCCTCACCCATTTTTTAAACCTAAATAACTTAATATATTAGGAATGACTATAAATTTATGCCCTTAATTACAAAAGTAATATTAAAATAACTATTAAAAATTATTTTTAATTGAAAATTATTTAATATTTAATAAAAATAATTGTGAATCTTGTTGTTACTTACAAAAAAAAAAAAAATAGTAAAAATAATTTTTAAGATTTCAAATAAAAATTAAAATTATTTTTTTAAAACAATATTTAACTTTAAACTTATTATTTGATTTTGATTATTGCCAACAATATTTTATATTTTATCCCTTTAGTCAAAAAAATATTTTTAAATCCCAAAAATTGAAGTTAAAAGTTGAGCAAGATGCCTCCTAACAGAGTGTATGTATATATACACACACACACACTCATGAGATTCTCTGTCCTAATAGTTAAACACACCCAGCTTTGACTCTTCATTCTTCATTGAACCCTCTGTAAATTTGGCATTTTCGATCTCTGTCCTTTTTTTAAAAAAAAAAAAAAATTATCATGAGAGGCAGAAGACTGGATATCTTGCAAATGGAGGAGAACAGAGAGTACAGCTCAGAAGACACAGTGCCTCACAAGCAACCTGCAAATTCAGAAGTCACCCCAAGAAAACAAGAAAGGAAACTGCAGCAAAACTTGGATATTTTATTCTATTATTTATTTATAATATCTTATAGCAGAGGCAAGCAGCTTCCATTGCTCAAGGCAAATGAAAATGGAAACTATTTTTACAGAAAACTCAGTAGAGCTTATGTAAAATTAAGTGAACACCGAATTCAGGATGAATGGTAAAAACCATTCGAGGAGCATGAGTATAACATGGCGATAGCTCGAACGTGAAACGTTGGAAGATCATTGCCAATGTCATTTTTGCTTCTAGCAGCGCTAAGTTTTGACCGATGCAAATCCTGGGACCCCATCCAAAAGGACAGAACGAAACTTGGTTCTTTGTCGCCTTTGAAACTCCTTCAGCAAACCTTTCAGGTTTGAAATCCAGTGCATCATCACCCCAGATCTCAGAACTATGGTGAACTAGGATTATTGGTATTGAGAGTCTCAGTCCTGCTGGTAGTATTAAGTTTCCAAGTTTTGTTTCTTTCTCTACTGATCGAACAAACATCGGTAGAGGAGGGTATAACTCATAACTTCATTCAAGATCATTGTTACTACACCAAACATATTTAGCATTGAATTTAACGGATGGCATAAGAGATTCAACTTGACTAATAGCAAGGAGTTGTAGCTGTAGGGATATTGGCCATGATCAACAATTCCCTAAACTGGATATTTCACATTAGAGCAAGAATACCCTCTTACAACAATTAATCCCATCTTAACTTGCTCAAGAAATCAGCTGAGAAAAACACAATATGTTTATGTTGATTGCAGTTCAAATTTCAATACCAAACAATACGAACGAAAATACAATTCAAATATCATAGAAATTTTAATGAAACAACAATTTAATTCCAAGATAATTCCATGCTTAATTCAAATGAAGTGTTAATGTAATTCCTTCTTTGACAAATGAAAATCAAAATTTATGGAATCTTGATTCAATCCAATCAAAATTTCTGGGAAATCCATGAAACAATAAGAAAGAAAATATACTTACAACTTTAAGCTGATTCAATCCATTAAAATTAGGCTGCTCATTACCAAATACTTTCAGAACTTCATCTCTAGCGCGAGATTGCCAATTTGTATGCTTGGCCAGCAGAACCATTGTCCAAACAAGCAATACAGATGTGGTCTCTTGTCCTGCAAAGTAAAATATTTTGCATTCATCGATCACGTCTGCAATGCTCAATCCAACATTCTTCTTTTCTCCATTTTCTTGAATCTCTCTAGAATTGGATTCCAGCAATGCAGAGAGTAAGTCACTGTTAACTTCCCCTGCTTCCATTGCCTTCTTTCTTTTGTCTATCATCCCTTTGAGTGAATCCTGTATCTCTTTGTCAATTGCTCTCATCTTCTTGTTTAACTTGGTCGGTAGAAACCTGTGCATATGTAGAATATTATTACGCTTGCATAAGAAGAAACCAAGAAACGGAAAATAATTTTAACTAATTTATAAAATGCTATTTAGAAGAAAACAGGAGCTAGCAAGCAAATATTCAACAGCATGCGTGGAGAGAGATATTTGCCAGAATCTGTTCAGAGCTAAGTTCTGTTTCTTGTGGCAACACACCTTAACATTTTGACATATTTATAGAAAAATTTCATCAGTCATGAAATAAACATCCCTTTTCATTTTCTTTTTAAGAATGTCATGCATTGCATATTTAGATTACCTCCATCCTGGAACATAAACTTTTTGGCAAGCTTGTGTTATTAGTTTGGCAAGTTCATCTTGAAGTTCAAAGATTCTTTTCCCTTCCTCATAGCTGCTTCCAAATGCTACTTGAGAGATCACATCACTTGTCAAATTAACAAGATACGGCCATACATCCAACTCACACCATCCTTCAGCAGACACTAACTCTTCCCATTTGTTGATCATATTGCTACAACTTTGGTAGACTGCAGGTAGCATATTCTGCTTAGCAAAAAATAAAAATAAAAACTTTTTAGCTACCCAAATTAATATACAAATATTTGGAGAACTTAACATAGTTTGCCCTTGAAAATTAATCTCAATGTTTAATCATATACGTTATCATCCAGCTAGTAGCTAGTAGTTCATTATATTCCTTTACAAAAACAAACACCCAAGAAAGAAAAAACACAAAATCCTTAACTAAAAAGGCTAACTGCATAGTAAAAAGGGTTTTCCGCAAATGAGTCCAGAACCTTCACAGTTAGACTGATATACACATACCTGTATAACCAGACTTACGTACATTACAACTGAAAAATATTCTTTAAATAGAAAAAAAAAAATTAATCAACCGAAACTTGAAAGAACCTTTAACTTTCCAAAGTTGAATGCTGGGGTGATGATTCTTCTATGGTTGGCCCATTTCTCCCCTTCGAGACTTGGGAGACCACATCCCAACGGTCTGATGAGTGGGTTGATGGCACTTTGCTTCTGAAAGTCAGTCCTTCTGGTAAGTATATCTTTTATGCATTCAGGTTTCATTACAATCATCCTTGGCACAGGTCCATCCCATGAAAAACAATTTTCCCTGTATTATTTCAAAATTTAATATAATCATAG